GTACAGGAGGGCCGTGCTCCCGGCGACGAGGACGATGACACCTCCATTCTCGCGCGTCGTTCCGATCTCGAGCATCTTGGTGACCGCCATGGCTTTCGGCAAGTCACTGAATTGCCGCGGCGATGTGGTCGCGTTGTCTGCCTCTGCGGCGCCCTCCTCGCCGTCGGATTTCGGCTGGGCGGCGTCTCCTGCACTCTGTTCCTTGTTCTTCCGCTCACCTCGCTTGTCCTTGCGTCGACCAGCGGGAATCGGGACCGGCCGTTGCGCGCACACGATAATATGAGGCAGGATGAGGTCGGCGATCGGGACCTGCTTGACCAGCTCGGCTGACGGGAGGCGGAAAAGCTGGATGGTCGAGTCGCCGCCCGCCGAGAGCAAGTAGGCGCCGGGATTCCGAGAGTCCGTGGCCGGCGCGGAAGGTGAGGGCGGAAGATACAAGAGCGAAGATACGAGACTACGAGTCGAGGCGGACGAGGTGCATCAGCGCTGCATTCCGTGCCCCGTTGATTCGCAATCGGCACTCACGACTTGCTGCCCCACGCAAACTTTTCAATGACGTGCCCAGCCGGGAACCGAGAGATCCGGATGTGCTCGTCGCGGTCACCCGTGGCGATCCAGTCGTGCGTGAGCCCGCACGAAGGCTCGGCGGGAATGAGCGCCAAACTGGTCAGCATCGAGACGTGGCCCAGTATCGGCTGATGTGCGTCCTTGTCGTCCTCGTCGGACGGCGCTGCTACGACTGGAGCTGCAGTCGGTTCCACGTGCAGTGGGAAGCTGTCCCGCGAGCAATGCCCGGTCAGTCGTGGCTTTCGTGGTCTTCGTAACGGGAGACGCACATGTACACGTCGCCAAACTTGTCACCGACGACAATCTCCCCTTTCGGAGTCACTTCGAGTGCATTGGCTCGTTTGGGCAGCGGCCTCGAGTTGACGAGCTCGAGTTGCGGCAGTCGAGAGACCTGCAGCTGCTTGTCCTCGCCGGTCGAGATCAAGTAGACGGCCGAGGAGGCCGGATCCGTGTAGGTGCAGAGGAACCGCACTAGCGCAGTGTGATGACTGGCGCTCGCGATGGGTGCGTTCGTCCTGCATGCGCGTAGTCGGTCAGGCGTCAGCTCGCGGACGGCTCACGAGAGCGGAGCAGAAAACTCACGCCGCATCGAACGTGCTGATCTGTCGGTCGGAGGCAGTGATCAGGAGCTCTGGCGTGCTCGCAAGAGCCTGTACAGGATGCCTGGACGTCATTACTGGGGTGGTGTGAAACAGGAAGGCGGCCCGCTCGATGAGATTTTGCTTTTTGGTCATTCCGAGATTCTCTCCGTCGTGCAAGTGACCAAGACCGGGCGATGCCTTCGCTCCACTACTCGCTGCCCTTTGCCGGTCTGGTCCTGCTGGTCCTCTTCCTCGCCTGGCACTACCGCCACCTCTACGTTGATCGGCTGCCGCCTGCTCTCTCGTCACGCATCCGACACTACACGCCGCTGCGGACCTTTGAAGATGCTGCCGAGCAGGGTGCGCGCTCTATGGCCTAGTCCAGCCGGCCGAGAAGTGCAGGCTGACATTGTCGCGCTTGTCGACAGGCTTCTCCACCTCGACGTTCGATCTCAGCAATAACCTTTCGGGCGACCAGCGCGCCGGTCTGGATGACCGTACGCTGACCGCTATACGGCGCATCATGGAGCGGGAAAACGTCCCGTTCGATGAGGCTCGTTTGCTTCATCTCAACAGCGTCTTTCGGAAGAACGGTGCGTCGTCTGCCATCGCATTCTCCTGCCCGGCACTCGAGCTGACCGCCTTCATATTTCTGCAGGGGTCGACGCAAACGGCTTTCCAATCGGTGCGCCAGTTTGGGTGATTATGTATGTCTCTGCCAGCTTGCTGACTCTTGACGCCGCTCTCGCAGATCCCAAAGCCGTCACCTCGTTGTCCTGATGCCTGTACTGCATGTGTTGTGTCAGTCTTTCCATGTTGTGTACTGCTCCCCTTGCTCTTTCTACGCGCCTTGGATGTACGGGTGTACTGGGGATGATCTGCATTTGAAGTTGTCTGCCCGACTCGCACGCGAGTTGACTTCTTCCAGTTGCCGGCTTGTGCATGAAGGCGGACATTGCCCTCGGGATCTACCTGCTCTTTCTCTGTGACTCGGTCTGCAGCCGGCGGGACGTGCAGCGGCTCCAGCTGCGAATCGTAGATGGTTGAGCAACCCCCGATCTTACCGATGAGAGGCAAAAGTTTGATCGCACCCAGGTTTGAACTGAGGACCTTATCCGAACACCAAGTGTTAAGGATACGTGATGACCAACTACACCATGCAACCGTAGCTTGAAAAACAAGGCTGTGTTGCAATACAGGTCACACTTATTTTCTCTATAGCACAAGGTGGTCCAGACGACGCCAGTGACAATGTCTGTCAGGCGGAGCAGGTGCCACAGTCTGTTGTGATAAAGGGGGACACACTCAAAGTTTCATATTGGAATTGACGTTTGACTTTTGAGTCTACCTCGTTTTGCCCTCTCCTCTCTCTGCAATGGCCGCCTTGCCCATCAAGTTGTCAACGCCCTCGCGGATGTCAACCCTCGCAATTTCAAACTCTGGAATGTGGGGCGCGGGCTTTGCGACAACCCGCGTGATACAAGATTGGATTCTCAGTGCAAACTTACACCCAGAACATTAACAGGAGTCTATGGGCCACCCGACAAAAACCCTCCGTGTGAGTGAATTCAGAATTAATCACGGAAATGCTTCACACGCCGCGGCCAGAAAACACTCAACTGACACTCTTCGCAAGCACTTGATATTTCACTCCCAAAGAGCCTTCGCTACGGCTTGTGGGAACTTGAGGAGTCGTGTTGCCCGAGTAAATCCGCGGGACTTTAATGATGCTGCAGCCAATTAAGGGTTGGCGCTCGACTGCAGGTCAACACTCAAGGGAGATGGAAAGGATGCATAAGGTGCTGCAGAGCTGGGTTGACAACAGTGCTGATGATGACGTGGCGAGGTCCTTGCACGAACATCCCGCTAAGTTGCGCCTGCGAGCAAACTCAGTGTGACTCGTTCAAACCCTGGTTCTCCTCTCTGTCATACCCCTCCGCTTCATCTTGTCACACTGTAGCGCCGCCAGCCACACACTGAACCATCAACCTTGATTTCATGGCTGCTTGTGGCTGCTGTTGCCTAGCTGACCGACTCGAGCTGACCAACCGAGATTCCCAACAATCATTTGGAAGGATCGATTCAATCCAACACTGCAGACTCCGGACCGAGGACGTAGGCACAGATATTGCAGCCTGGTCCTGCTTTTAGCCGAAGCCATAGCAAGAGACCTGATGAATCCTTCTGCGTACCTGGTCCTGCTGTTAGCCAAAGCCGTAGCGAGAGACCAGGTCCAGACAAGTTGACTCGAGGTCAACTTCCCCGCGGCCTCCCCTCGGTCACCATATCATTCCGCTCATGGTGAGGCGACAGCCTTACATTGTTGTCCAGTCTGATGTTACTGTAACAACCGGCTTGCGCGTGTACGACAGCTGAGCATGTCAGGGCGCGCAGATCATGGGCTGACCACCATGCTGACGACTCTGCCAATCTCGACACTGACGCATGATGCTGATTTGCCGAGGGTGGCAACCGACGATACTGCTCTTGCGGACCAACTTGGCCAAGATGTGCTGCTGATTTGTGACTGGTGTAGAGATAGCTGGTGAGTATGAGGCTTTTTCTCTCCAGATGACTCCTTGCCCACCTTCCCCTTCCCATTGCCCAGTCTGTGCACGCAGTGTGCACTGGTTGCTCTCTTTCACTGAGGGCAAGCACCCTTGTCTAGCTTGTACAGCCGTAGCATCACACTCTGCAATCACCACTAGATCCCAAATGACCCATACTGCATGCTGGGCCGGCATCGCTTCGCTTGCCTGCTTTGCCCAGCTCGGACTCATCTTCCTCTTCTAAGTCTCCTCCTCGCTCTTTTTCTTTCGAACGGAACTAACACTTCGTTTTGATTGCAGACATATACACTATATCGTGCCGGGCCCAAAGTGACGGCCGCGCCTCAAGACTCAGCAACTCAGGCAGATGTTGGTGGATCGTCTCGGTTGACTTGTTGTAGCTCCCTCACCTCTCTTCTTCTTCTTCTTTAGCACCCAGCCCTCCTTCGCTCATGTTCTCTCCGAAATCTATACTTGAGTCACTGCTTACTAGCTCTGGCTTGTTCTACGACTCGCTACGACCCGAACTGCGCAGTAGACCCACTCTCGCATCGAGCTTGAGAATGGTGTCCCTGCACTGCACAGGAGAGTGTTCCTGTGGGTATAGGCACAAATATCAGGGGACAACAATCTCTCTCTGCAAGCCGTGGGAAAGCCTTGCAGCCAGAAGCCCTCGCACATCTTGAGGCGTGAACCTTGTGAAGCCGACCCTAGCATCGACAAAACCCTTGAGAAGGGTGTGACAGAAGGGGTCAGGGAAGAAATTCTGCCAACGCAGTGGCAACACTTTTTCAAGCCTTGAGCGCATTGGCTGTGTCCCTGCTTCTTCACCTCACCGCTCTCTGCTTGTAACCCACACTTGATCTAGTGTTGTTTGGTTGTGGGTTCCTCTCCACCTTCCCCTACAAGCAGAGTACCAGGATCTTGCCTCCAGCTTGAGATGTGTTGCCTCTGCATTCTACTTCTCTTTTGCAGTCCGTGTCTGCTCTTCATGCTCTGGCTGTTGAAGTTTTCCTTACTTTGATGTGGATGCAGGCAACTGGTACAAGCAAGAAGCCCTACCTGCAACAGGAGCTCAACTTGGCCGTGATTTTTGGGTGTGAGGCTGCTGAGTGCTCCGCCCCTCGGAGGTTCTCACTATCTAAGTACCAGGCTGTTAGGCACACATAATCAAAACAAGTCCAGAGTCACCTGTGTCATGTCAGGTAGACTGTCGCGAGCCGTGGACGGTGCGTGTTTGTTCTGACGATCCTACCCAAAAATGCCGGGCGGTATATATATGCATCTTGAGCAAGGTCATCAAGATTCAATAGTCTAGTTGGTTAGGGCACCGCATTGTGGCTGCGGAAACCCGTGTTCGAATCACGGTTGGATCATATCTTTTGCCTTTTGGACAAAACTTTCATTTTAAAGTTTGTTTAACGGTTTTTGACGTTTGAACCAGAAACGGGATGAGGCGGGAAACAGGGAGGGATCTGTGCGTAACTGCAGAGGACGCAAAAGGGGATCGAACTGGAGCGTGAGTCAAAGTTGACTCAACGGACACTGGTCCGCACGACCCAATGTATCACACTGGATTTCTCGTCAGCTCGTGTGTGCAGAGCGAGAGCAGCCCAGGCAAACGAAGCTCGCGCTTCGAGCTTCGGAGCGGTTGCTTCCCACGAGTGAGAGACCGGCTCTTACACGAACAGGACCTGGGCAGCGGGGATGGCACTGCACAGTCTGTGCCACCAAGCGCATTGGCATCCATCAGGTCATTGAGACCTCCCTCCTGTCGAGGCCTTGGGCTTCTTGGTGCCAGCCCCATGCGCTGCTTGACCAGAGCGCTATGCAGCATCCCTGTGGCACCCTGCAAGCAAAAGGCAACCCTTTCAATGGGCCAAGGGCAGAGGTCGGTAGGTTCCTGGAGACCTGATGGATTAAGTAGACAAGCTGCGTTGTCACATTTGAGTAGGTTGTCCGCTGCATTGAGCCGTCAAGGCAGTGAAACTTGGGGCAAGCCGTGAACAACCTGTATAGTCAAATCCATTCAGTTCAATGTAATTAAGAGCAAAAGAAGAAGGTACTCACACCTCAACAGCGATCCGAGTGATTTTGACGGGTGACCTCCTCACCAGCGAGAAAGAGGTTTGTGCACGCAGTGACAGAGGGCAAAATACGTGCAAGGGCTGGTTGACGTGGTGCATCTTGTTGACGATGGTGGTTGGAACTGAGGCCTGGGGTGGCTGGGAGGTTCATGGGAACTGCGCATGTGCCAAGGGAGGACAAGCTCTGGCACCTCCTCCTGGAGAGTTGTAACCACCCAGAGCAAACCCATGGAGACCGGGCATAAGGTTGACTTGACACCAAAGAAGCAGGTCAGGCCTGTCCCAACAAATTCCAAGCGTGGCCACTTGGAGCCCTCTGCACAACAGAAAGACTGCGCGCTGGCACAACAACGGGATGATCAGCTTTATTCCGGCAGCAAGGGGGTGGAAGGAGTGTTGGCACAGAGGGGAGCAGCTAAAAGGAACAGGCCAGGGGGAGGGAGGGAGGGAAAGGGAATGGCGACACAAGGGAGGGGAGAGCCCATGCACAAAGTGCAGCGAGATGGGGTGATGCAGGTCAAAGACAAAGCTGGCAAGTTGAAAGGGGAAACGGTCCGCAAGCGCAGATGTGTTGCATGTTTCTGACAGCCAGAGGGTGAGAGAAGGGGGAGAGAACAAGAGCAAAGTCAGCAGCGGTTTGGCCAGCCCACATTGCACGCCTTGTGCAGCCCATTGTGCGTACCTTCATAAGACACCCACAAATCTTGCATGCACCGCTACATTTCCCAACCAGTTGCCTTCACAGCCGGTGCCAACAAGAGCAGAGCGCTGCCCTGGGATTTTCCCTTTTCCCTCAGCCACAGTCAGGGTAGGCAATCCAGCACCACTGGCAGATCTAAGATTTGGCAATGCAGCACAGAACGGTGGCCAAGGGCAGCTTGCTCTGAGAGAGATGGGGGGCAGAAGACTCACTTGAAGTGCCAAATGTTTCCCACCCATTTCTGATCCGTGAAGGCACTTTCAAGCTTTGCCGAGAGCTGCTGGAGACCTCATGGCAGCAGTACTCCTCCTGTTGGCGCCAGGAACATGAGGGAAAGCATTGGCAGCAAGCAGAGAGAGCAAGAGAGACAAGGCAGACTTTGCTACGGCCGACTCCTGCCGCTCAGGGCCTCCGGCCGCTCGCGAGTTCTTGCTTATCGCCCCGAGCTCGCAGAGCCGTGCACGAGCGACAGCAGCAGCGAGGACAACAATGACGAAGGCGAAGGAGGACTTGGGCGGCGCTCAGGCTCTCAATCCGCCGTCTCGACATCACCACCCGCCGACAGCTCAGGATCGATCCGACACGGGCGTTTGCTGCCCAGGAGCCTTTCAGCAAGCTGGTCCGCTTTCAAAGCAGCGCAAAAGGCGACATGGGCGCGCGCCTGGTCAGCTTCCACCACTGGCGTCCAACTTCACGCCATCACCACTTCTCCGCCCGGTCTCGCTTTCACCCGTTTCCACTCCTTGCTCTCGCGCCGCCAATTGACGCTCCTCACGCAATTTTGCACCGGCGCTTGCAATCTCGGCGCATACAAGGCGCATTTCAAACCCAAACGACTCATGTGCGTTTGCGGCGGCGAGCCGGAAACCCGCGAACATTTCCTTCTCCACTGCCCCCTCTACGCCTCACAGTGCGCCACCCTCCTCTCCTCCCTCCAACTCAAAAGCACCACCCTCGCCTACCTTCTCAGCGACCAGCGCGCGGCGAAGGCGACTCTCTGGTTCCTCGCCAAGTCTGGCCGTTTTGACTAGAGAATGTTGCCGTTCAGAACGGGGCCTGAACGGGGTACGGGGATTTGTACGGCGTTACGTACGGGGCACGGGCCCCCCGTACGCCGTGCTGCACCCGTCGCGACGACGAAAGTCCCGCCCGACGGGAAAGTACGGGCTTCAAGAAACTTGCAGCAACTGTAGAGGGTTCTGCATTGCATAAATAGCATCTCTGAGCATTCTGTTAGCCTCAAAGAATTGGTTTCAAGAAAGGCTTGCAAGCTCCGCGGAGTCGAGCGGCCTGAGCGGCAAGAGTCGGCCTGAGCGAAGTCCGCCTCGTCTCTCGTGTTCTCTCTGCTCACTGGCAGCGCTTCGGCTCATGTTCCCGGCGCCAGCGGGAAGAGTATCGCTACCATGAAGTCTCCAACAGCTCTCGGCAACGCTTGAACGTGCCTTCACGGAGCAGAAAAGGGCGGGAAACATTCGGTGCTTCGGGTGAGTCTTCTGCCCCCTCTCTCCTTCTCGCGGCAATCTGCTCTTGGCCACCAATCTGTGCTGCACCACCAACCTTGGATCCGTTGGCGGTGCCGGATTGCCTACTGCTGTGGGCGAGGGCGAATCCTGGGTGAGCGGTCTGCTCTTCTTGGCGCCGCTGGTGAAGACGACGACCGGTTGACGCATGCAGCAACGCACGCGAGGTTTATCGGCGCGGTATGAAGCTCGAGCGCGCTGGGCAACACAAGGTGTGCATTGTGGACTGGAGGAACTGCTCCTGACCTTGCTCTCTTTCTCTTCCCCATCCTTCCTCACTCCTCTCGCAGATCACTCGAACCATCGGGACTACGCTACGCCCATAATCGCTTTCATCCGTTCAGAGGCTAGAGTCGCCAGGATTCACCTAGCTCTCCAACGCCGCCACGCCAAAATCGACTGCTCCGTCTTGCGACTCATCGCTTCCTCCGACCCGTTCATCGCAATCTGCCGCTGTTTCGGGTGAGTTTCTGCCCTTCCCTATCATCACTTTCCTGCCCTTCCTTCGATCACGATGCTTCCATGCTTCAGCCTCCTCCTCTTTGCCGACACTCCCTCCACCGCCGGGTCATCGGAAGCAAGCTGATCATACCTCGCTTTGCATGCGCACAGTCTTCTTCTATTGTGCGGAGGGCTTCTATGGTCTTGCTCAGCGAGAGCCGCACCGGCTGAATGGTCATGCTAGGAGTTTGGGGAATCGCTATTGGCGAAGACGGACTTGCCGCGGGGAGATCACGGAGCTCAAGCTCAAGACGGAGCTCTTCCTCCGCTCTCCGGTCTTGCAGCTTGACTTGCAGATGGGGCTAGACAGTGCACATCAGTAGAGAAGAAGAGATGGAATGCTCATTGCGCGTCAACAGGTTGGCAGAGTCTTGGAAAGCGAGGAGAGATCTTGAACTGGAAAGCAGACAAATCTGACCCGTACACCCTGTTGCACGGGCCGTACCTCCGTACAGTACGGGGTACGGATGCCCGTGCCCCGTGCGCTCCCCTGTCGAGCAAAAGTCAAGATTTTTATGCCCGTGCCCGTCGCACGGGAGGTCACGGGTACGGGACAACATTCTCTAGTTTTGACTCCCTTTACTCCCCACCCTCAGAGGATCCGTCTAGCGGAGTCTCCCCATCCATGATTCTATTCTGTGCACCCCCTTCCTCTCCCCCCCCCCCCTATACCCCCCATTCATTCCCACCTGATTTTCCTGGCTCACGGAGCAGGTTTTTTCTTCGGGCCTTCCTCGCTTCCCCTAGGGATGTCGGACCCATCAACGGAGGTCGCATTATGGGGGTTTTTACCGGGAAAACCCCCCAATTTGGCGTAACAGCGACGGGAATCGCCCGTTTCCCCGTTAAAATCCGTTAGCACCCCGTCACGAGTCCCGTTACAGCGCACCAAGGCGTTTATAGGGAGCTAGACTCGAGCAGAGTCTGTAGAAAGAAACGATAGCATCTTTTTAGCGCATAGAGACCCGTCATTCTACTCAGAAGCCAAGTAACAGCGCTTGTCCAAAGTGCAGCAAGCTCCTCCTTGTCAGCTGCATCCCTCTCTGCCCTGGGAGTGCAGCAGCAAAGCATGCAGCTTATTGTCAGTCTTCGCTCTCTACAACAGGGACAGAGGAGTGGCGAGGGGGCAAGCAAGGGGAAGAGTCAGCTTCCGTCTCGCCTTGTCCGGGCTAACCCGCGCATAAGCCCTTGCGTCCTCCGCTTCTCCAGTAGAGCAAACAGCATAGAATTGAGAGCACAAGTGACTCACCTTAGACTCGCAAAGCACAGGCAGAGGGGTGGCGGCAGGAGCGAGGTGAAGGCGCAGGCGGAGGACTCGAGGCGGCAAGGCGAGGCGAGGTGTAGGTCGTGATTGGAGCTCTTGTCTTGTCGAAAGGGGCGAGAGTGCTGCTGCTGGCAGAGCCGGAGCTGACTCGAGCGACGGCCGCGAGGGGGAGCGGCGTCGATGTCGACGTGGAGTTCGTGGGCGGAGGGGCGAGCGGGCAAAGTCGGGTCATAGATGAGCAAGAAGGACGGGAATGTCAGCACACCAGGCAAGCTTTGAGCAGCCATCTGAGCAATGTAGCCGT